ACAAAACAGACTGTGTGAGGTTTTTCGAGATTTCGACTCAGACAAAATATTCATGAGGTCAGAGAAGGCGCTGGATACTTGGGTGCTTATCCCACGTGTTAGAAGAATGGGATTAAAAAAACAGACGTGGTAAACAGACACCCGTTTTCAACGACTTATGGAGCTCTCCAACATGACAGTGCAATCGAAGGAAGTAAAGTTGATCGGACCCGCCGCTTCGGTTCGAACGTGGCGTTTTGATTGTTGTGTGGACGGAACTACTCATAACCCGCATCAGTAGTATGAGCGCCGTCGCATTTTTGTGCGTGTTGCCGTGGTGCGAAACCAAACGGTGTCTACTAGGGTTCTTAAGACTCTTTGATGGTCCACCCTTTCCGGGAATTGTATGCACTTGAACACATTGGTGGGACGAGTATTCCAGATCAACAGAGGACAATGCTATCCATGAGTTTGGAATACCAGGGTATGACCAGGATGCAAGCACAGTGTTCGTAAATATAGTGGTAGTGGTTTGTCCAGCAGAGCTTTTGCAACGCTGGTTTATTTGATTCCTACAAGTATTCGTTGTGGCGCGTAATACTTTCGCCTTGGCAATTGATCACTATCAAGTGACGTGAACTTGTGAGACGCAGCTGGGCTTACACCATCCCTCCAAGTTGCTTCAAAAGACAGGAGGCAAGTCTAGCGTGTGACGCAATTCTCAAGTGATTGAACCATTCATCACTCGTGCCGCGCGGTCACTTTTTTCTGAGGTCCTGATGTGTGGGGCAGAAAGAGGTAAATTTCCTGTGAATACGAACCACTCGAACGCGTTCCCTTGGATCAACCCCTGATTGTTGTCAGTATAATTAGCCTGTCTAACGGTCGTATTTTTTAGAAAGAGTTTATCCTTGTTCAGTGAATTCCAATCCCATTTGCTGTAATAGGAGACACAAACACTATATCCTTCCAACCTCGTTTCAGGCACCGTGTCTCGTATTGTTTGATGCGCCCAAACATGGCTCGCCAGCTGGTACTGGAAATCCAGTTGGTGTGGTCACTTCCAAGGACCTGCTTCGAGCAATTGTCACGAGCAAATCCAGTCGTCCAGATTCGGGTGTTGCCGGAATGTCACACACAAATCACGAGAGATGCGATTCCCCTCTGGGTGACCACCACTGGGCTGGTGGATCGCTGAGTTCGGATGAAGTGATGTCGTCGAATTCATTCGAGCGAAACGCAAGGAAGCCCGAAGCAATTCACCATTCAGACTCTTTACTCGGTGCGTCGAATTCTTCGTTTGATGATGGAGCTTCATTGTCAAGCTCTTCTGGGAGCACATGTTCGGCTCACTCGGACTCAGAGAGATTACATTTAACTTCGCGGCTCCATCATCCGATACCGAGTGATGGGAGTTTTTGCAATTGTGCTTGTCATCAGAGCATGGATGGGAAAAATCCACTAAACGGCAAAACTGAGCAACCACGTTTTTTGTCATCGCACCAGATGTCCACGGATTCGACGTTTTCCTATAGTTCCAAAGGCTCGGAGGGGTGAGTGGTGTTCTTGATTCTCCGTTTCTTTCAGAGTTGCTCATCGGTTCTTTTGTAGCGCACTTCTGTTTCTTTTTACTTTTAAACGAATGTAAAGTTCATTAGTCATGCCCTTACAATGCATTTCAGCTGGTTCAGTTTGGTAGATAACAGGGAAGACGAGGAGAGTACAGTCACGTGTTCGAAACAGTTGTTTAGTCACTTCCTGGACGATGAACTGTAGCTGTTATCGAGGTATTGGGAAGGTCACTCATTGAAGGTCACGTTCTTGACGAAGGAACCTTATTAT